CCCCAAAACCCCAAAACCCCGAAAAGTTAAAATTAATAAATGAATTGGAATCAAAGATTATATAAAATTATAATTAAGAGTAATGGAAATTAACAAGGAGTACATTCCATTTGAAGAACTCGAAGCTGAACAGAAATAAATCGAAAATACTTTCTTGACATTGAGATTTACTCAGAAGGTACGTAAGGAAATGATCTCCTGCTTCAAGAGATGCGGAGGCACAGTCTCCTATCCTTTCAGAGTTATTCCTTACTAGCTAAATGGATTAAATAATGTCTGCTTCGGAGATTGCGTGAATATCAATTTCGAGAAGGGACCTTACTTGAAGGAACTTGGAGATGTGCCTGAGGATGCAATTCCCAAGAAGTTTATCTGGCCCTCAGTTCAATGATTTTGATAAACTGATATATGAACGTCTGAGTAGAATAGAATGTTATTGATGATTTTATTCTACAGTTCTTTATTTAAATTAAGTTAAAAGTCAATGCATAATTATTAAACTTATATATAAATCATTATAAAGTAAAGCAAATATGACGATGAATTAAAAACGAATGAAAAAGAAACTCTCCATAGTCTTCAGAGATCCTGATGAAATTCCTCATCGCAAAGGTAGGTCAATGCAATTCCACATTAACAATTTATCATAGGAGTTAACTCAATCTTGATCGACAATAATTGTAAGATATGCCTATAGTATTAGCTAATTCACTAATCACAACAAAATGCTAAATTACTTTTAAGGTTTTAAAAATGATACATCCTTGTTATTTTCTGCTAGCAGAGATAGATTAATCAAACTATGGCAAGTTGACTATCATAAAAATACTGTAAGCAATTCTAGGGAATAATGTTTAGTCAAATTTGATGGGTAGTCTTGATGAGCACACAGATTGGATTAATCAGATTCTTCTTGACTAGGAAAATAAACTATGTAAATCAAATTGTATCAAGTGACATAATTTTAGTGTTTTCATGTTCAAATGATACTACTATTAAGATATGGTCATTGAGGAAATTCTATAGATAACTCAATGATATTTAAACATAGGCAAGGATGAGGTCTGTGGTTTCTTTGAATGATGATATAGATTATATTAGAGCCATTGATTATAGTAGTTTCAATAACACTCTTTACTCAGTTTGTGATAATGGAATAGTCAGATAATGGGATGTGGATGCAGCCACTCTTGCAGGTTAAGTAGATAACCAAGAATAAGTAAAAATTAGACCGTAAATGATGAGTATTTTAGATTTAAGAAAGGAATTTCAAGTCTTTTGAGTTTATGAAATATGAAAATTCTCTGCCAACATGCATTTCTTGCAGCTAAGGCGGAAATATTATTGCAATTGGATATACAGATGAAGTTATAAAAATTATTGACATGAGAATAAGAGGTGATCAATCTCATTAGTTTGAGCTTCGAGGAGAACATTAAGATTCTATTAGATAGGTCAAGTTATCCCCTGATGGCATGGTATGTCTATCAGCAGGATCTGATGCTACCTTTAAGGTTTGGGATATGAGCATGAGAAAGTGTGTTAAAACTCACGGAGGAGAATAGGGAATACAAAAAAAATACTCAAGCTTCCATAGAGATACAATAACTACATAAGATGTTGACTTTGAATCTGATCTAGCTTTTACTGGTGGGAGAGATGGCAGTATTTTTATGAATAGAATAGTTCACCACAAATACTAGAAAATTTATCAAGGAGATGCAAAGTAAATGATAACTTGCCTTAAATATGATGACATTAACTCATCTCTATGGTTTGGAACACCTGACTCAAGTTTTAGCTGCATCAAAATTGATCATAACCACATCGATAACACCATAAATAGACAAGAAGTACGCGATAAGACGAATCACTATATTGATATCAAAGGTAAAATATTTATCAAATAACAAAAAATATAAGAAAGGCTTACCTTGGATCACTGAATATCATATCTTAAAGAACAAAAGATATATTCTGACCAACACCTCTGAAAATGATAAAGTAGTGAATTTATGGTCTCTTGAGAACGGTAAAATCATAAAGACCTGGACTTAAAAGACCTTTTAATAAGTCATAAGTATTGTGAGTAAGCAATATGACCTTAATTTGACAACTGGATCTGGTAGTAGCTCTTCATTCAAGAAGCCAGATATCATTCCTTAGCAATGGTTTTCTTGTGATATCAAATTAGGAGTAAGATACTTAATCTTTTAAATTATTTTAGTCTGTAACAATTCATTTGGATGAAGATAATTGGCTTAAAGGAAATGTTATTGACAATGAAACAAATGTAGAAAAAATGCTTCTAGAACGAAATTCTGAAGCAAAAACAAACGATGATTCAGACTTCTATGAAAATAGAAGAGATAAAAATAGGAATGATTAGATGTAGAAAGCATTGAATCTGGGGTTCAATTTAGGAGAAAAACTTTTCAAAGAGGTCTAAGTAAAGTATTAAAAAATAGAAAAAATACAACTCACGAGAATATTAGGGGATAACTTCAAAGATTATGTAGAACTCAAGAATAATTATCTGGGAATTTCAGAAAATATGGATATTGGTGAAGAATAAAAAGATGAATCAAAGATAGATGATGATGAATGCTTACCATTCTTCATATTCCTTCAAGAAGCTGATATTCAAAAGCCTATATGGACATCTTATGGGAATGATCTACATGATATTGAAAAATTAGTTTATTATCTGCCCCTAAGCATGCAGAAAAATGTTTAAAGGTCGATTCCAAATATAGATTCTCAAAATAAAATAAGCCTGGGTATTAATACTGTTGGTATCATGGACCTTCCTAAATTCTCAGACGGTAAAAGACTGACATGCTCTCCAACGACTCCTATTTGCGATCTAATAACATTCCTCTCTAGCAAACTTGAATTTCAGAAACACTTTTTGGTACCAGAAAACTAGTTTGATCCAATAAAAAATGTTGAAATAGTATTACCAGTTTATCAAAGACATTCACTAAAGCAAATAAGCACAAAGACAGAGGCTGAATACGATAAGCTTATTGTTTTAGATATAAATCTAACTCTGGTTGTTATTTTCAAACTTCTACTTCCTTTCACCAACAACCCTAATTTGATAGCTGGTAGTTCAACTCTTGCTAATAATCAAATGAATCTTTTTTATCGGAAGAAAAAAATTGAATATAGTCCTATTAAGAATGGAAAAATAGATCAAATTGAAACATTTAGAGATTTAAGTGGAGAAAAACACTGAGACTAATGACTATGTGAATATGAATGATCAAGTGAGATTTTTTGAAGTACCAAAGTAGTGTTGTGATCTTTATTGTTTCTGTTATCAATATAATTTTAAACTTTCAAACTAGCTAATTGTTCATATATTTATATTCATTAAACTTAGATTTATATTAGGATTAGAATATGATTATTATGATGCTGTTTAAACTTATTAAGGATGATAAATTTATGAGAAACTTGGAATGAGCCCTGCTCTCATACTCTGGATTGATTATTGGTGATAGTGCTTCAAACGTAGTAATTTCCTCCTTGAGTTTGAGCCCAAACTGTGTCAAGCATATCTCTCCAGTCCTTGGCAGTTTCTGGGAAGCTTTGAAGTAAGATACCATTAACGAAGGCGAATGGAGTACCGCTAACATGATGATGAGCGTTGTATTTGTACATGTATCTAGTTCTCATCTCTGAGTTGTGTTTGTCAGTATCTCTGTCGTACAAGGCTAGTAAATCAGCTTGTGGAATAGTAAAATGAGTTGCAACTTTCTAGGTCCAAATCTTGATTAAATCATCTTGACTGGTATCCTTAGCTCCTAGAATGACATCTTGATTCTTAAAACAGAAATCTATATAGTCATAGAAGTGGCAATCAGTTTCATTAGCGTGGCATTGATCAAGAAGATATGGAACAAGAAGATGTGGAACCCAAACCTCATGATGATATGGGAGAGGTAAGAAAGTATATGAGAGTTGAATTTGATCTCTCACTGTTGAGTCGAGGAACTTTTGATCAAGGAATTCTTGGAAAGCTGGGTTTAGGGCTGCTGAGTCAGAGCACATTAAATCATAGATAACTTCGATTTCAATACCAGTTTTCCAGTGACCAGTGTAATATACTGGTTTACGAGCTGGGACTGGGGGATCATTGCCAAAATCAGCAGCAGCAAATCCAGCAGCTAGGAGTAGTAGAACGACAGTCTTCATTTTAGAGATATATATTATAATAATTATGGATTTTATGGATTCATTCAAACCCTTAGGATAAATCATACTTGGGGTTTTGGGGTTTTGGGGTTTTGGGG